AAGATTTTTGTATTAACCAAAAACAAAAATATTTGAGTAATTTGCTTTATGATTAATCAACGTTATGAGGAAAATGAGTAACCAACATTTTAAAGTACTCNAGAAATACGTTTGTGATAAATTTTTGGAAAATGGGCGTGGCACCGCCCACTTATGATCACATATATGTATCTCAGTAACCGTTCTACCAATTTGTACCAAACTCGGTGTGGTTATTGTGCTTGCCACATATAAGCAAACCGTTGAAAATTATTGAAATCGGACTAAAATAACGGCCGCTTCTCATATAACGGTAAATTTCAGAACTGCTTGAAACTTCAAAATTTCGAAATCTAAGGACTCTAATTTACTCAAAATTGATACGCCCCGGCTTACCATATAGCCGTAGCTTTCGGTAAGGCGAAAAACATATATTTAATACGTGCGCCGGGTATTTAATGTTCGGCTCTGCCCGAACTTAGGCTTTCTTACTTGTTCTTACACAGAATGTAAAAAAGAAAATAAACATTTTCCAAAGAAAACTCTTTTAACGAGCAAAATAAATTTTTTTAAGTAATCATATTTGAAATACCTAGATAACTCATCGTTTTGAGTAATCAAAATCTTGATTACTCGAGTAATCAACCAACTTGCTCGAGTAATCGAATAATCGCACAGCCCTAATTTAAATATTTTAAAAGCTATTTTTTTCGATTAATTAAGTTGTTAGAAATTATGCATTTTTTCTTTTTTAATTTATTTCATTTTTTTAATGTACACACATAAGTTGTTTTAAAAAGAATAATAAATTTTTTTCAATTTCATTTAGTTTTATAAACTTATGTATTTAATTTTTTTCATTTTTTAATATTTTTTTTTTGTTTTTCTTAGTTTCTATTTGTTTTTAGCTTTTATTGTTGAAAAAAGAAAAATATATATTTTTTTTAACTTCATTTAATTTTTAGAGATTAGTTTTATTTATATTTTCATTTTTTTAATCAATTTGTTTTTCTTTATCTAATTCCATTTTTGTTTTAGTTTTTTAGATTTTGTTGTTTTAAAAAGAAAAATATAGTTTTTAATTTCATTTAATTTTTAACCGGCTTCACAAAAAGGAGAAGGAGAATCAATTCGTCAGATTATTATATATTTTATTTTATGTATGTTACCGCATAACTTTGGCCCCTTTTTATTCTTTTCATGAGCATGAAATACTATTATAACTTTGGTCCGATGTTTGTAAGTGCCAGAAAAAGAGGAGATAACCCATTAAAATAAAGGCTTTATAGTATCTGTTGCGGAAAGTAGTACCTATCATGGAAAAGTCGAAACAACAAAGGACATCTCCCACAATTCCATTATTTAAATCTTAACCTATTTTTTGCTCATTCTCATTCGCCTTTTCTATTTCCCTATTTTTGAGGCTTTTCTTGCAGCCAGAGAAGTTTAAAACTTTTGCTAGTTAAAATTCATTAAAGCTTAACCGCAGCTTTTTGCCGCTCATTTCACTGGTAGTTTGACTTTTGTATGTATTTGTACCTGCTCCTCCCCGCCCCCTCCTGGCTTTCCTACTGCACTATTTGAGCACACTTTCATTGCCCATTTCAGTTGTGTCCAACTAACTATCAACAATCCCAGCAAAATCACATACATATATAACCACAGCTCAGTTTCAACAACAAAATTTACAAAAAACAAACACAAGTCTCCCTGTGTGCGTGTGTGTAGGTACTAAGCTACAAAACGCTGACCCAGGACCCAGCCTAGCCGGCAAGCACGGTTGTATTCTCTGTAAAAAAAGTGTGCCATTTCAAATCCTATTTGAGTTTTGTCCTGCATTGTAACTTGGCTCAAATGTGTGCGTGTGTTTGTGTGTGTGCTTGCTGTTAGTGTCGCTAAGCTTTGCTCATATATTATTCTGAAGTTGGCAACACTATTTAGTAGCAACACGACACGCAACACAATAACTCGTTTTAACAGGCAACGGCCGTCCGGCAAGTGCAGGCTAACGGAAGGGGACCGAACGGATTTCCGAAACACTCCCACTCAGTTACTCGCTTGAAGTGCCATGTAAGTTATTTGTATGTGTGCGCGTGCGCGTGTGTGTGTGTGCCTTGGCGCCAACGGGGAAACCAGTCAAATACTAAAGTCACCTTTAGTGTGAAAATGCCCTGCAAAAATGTCGGCCGGAAAACTTACTCACATGTCCTGTAATATGCGGATGTGTGTGCATGCGCGTGTGCGTATGTATGTATGTATGCTTGACAACTTTTACTGCAACGAACCAGCAAATTGGTTATATAAGAGTTTAAAAATATGGGCATTTTTAACTTTTTGCGGCAGCACAAAGTAGCATCAAGCTCTCTTGTGTGGGTCCCTTAAGCCGTCGTAATTCATTAGGCGGCTTGTTTATCGTGATGACCCAGACCGAAGTGCTTGCGAATAGTTGGCTTTTGGTTATTGAATTTTTCTATTAGAGGTACTTAAGAGTTCGAAAAATAAGTACTAAAAGGTTACTAATGAATGGGCTTTTGTTTAAATTTTATCGCTTTCAGCATTTCCGTTTTTTTCGTTTTTTTTTTTTTAAATGCATTTAGAATTTTGGTCGCACACAAAGGTTTAGGAAAAATCTTGGATCTCTACATGCTTCTTTTTCAGAATATTTATTGTCTTATCAAAAACTCCAAAGATATTCTTTATATGTAAGATTGAAAATATAGTTTCATATCAATGCTAAATTGTTTTTGGTTTGTACTTAACATAAATGGAAAAAACTCGGATTAAAGATTGTGGAAATTTGGCAACTCTCGTATAAAATAATTTCAAACAAATTTGGTTTAAATTTGTAAAAAACAAATATAAATCACTAAGATAAATTTCACTTTTAAAACCGATGTAAACCTATTCTAAAATATTTTAGAGAAAACTTTCTTTAGCTTCTTTCCTTAGATACTCTCTTCTGAAATATTTTGCATACAAAATTTCTTTAACTTTTTTCCTTAGACTCTCTCTCTCTTGTCTCTTAGACAATGATCCGTTTAACTTTAATTGGACCGAAACATTTAAAGAGGTGGCAACCCCTTCAAAAATATTTTATAAATAAACCTTACTGAAATCTCTGTCTTCAAAAGTATTTTAGTAGTAAATTGGCGCCCATGTTGAAATATTTAATTTATCTTGATAATTATATTTATTTTTAATTTCTAAATAAGTGGCAAGTCCTCTTCAAAAATATTTTCTAAATGCACCATTCTTAAACCACTCTCGTCTTACACACATATGCAAATATTTCACTTAATTTGTTAATTAATTTGATTTTTAATTTCTAACCATGTGGACGCCTTCGTCAAAAATAATTACGAAATAGAGCTTTCTTAAACCTATCTCGTTTGATAACCATATAAAATATTCAGTTTAATTTGTTAAATTAAATGATTTTCACTTCCTTGACAGGTGGCAACACTCTTAAAAACTATCTTCGATGTCAAGCTTTCTCAGCCTTGACAGCCATAATAAAGCATGTTATTAAACTTGTTAATCAGCCGAATTTTCAATTTGTACATAAATGGGTGGCAAACCCTCTTGAGAAATATTTTAGAAATAAAGCTTACTTAAACTTCTCTCGGTTGAAACCCATATTCTAATAACAACATTTCACTTGTTAATTTAATTGATTTTAAATTTCCAAACAGGTGGCAGCCCTCTTCGAAAACATTTTCGAAATTAATATTTCTAAAACCTATCGTTGCTTTGATTGCCATATAAGAGATTAAGTATTTCATTTAACTTGTTGATTTATTTGATTTTGAACAAACAGGTGGCAACTATTTCAGAAATAGTTTTTTAAATGGAGCTCTTTTTAAATCTCTCGTTTAATATTCATATAAAAATACCTAATTTATCTTATAAATAAAATTGACCTTGAAACAAATATGGGTGTTAGTTAAAATATTTTTGAAGGTACTTAGTATAGACTTTCTCATGTTAATTTAATTTATAGTCATATAACTCCAATCTGCATATGGCACATATTCTTCAGAGGTATATTACCAATTCAACTGAATTAAATTTTTCAAATAGGTGGCAACCAGCTTCAAACTTATTTTTAACCATAAACTTTCTTAAACCTCTTCAGTTAAATGTTCGTATTGTAATATTTCACCTATTTTACAAATTTAATTGAATAAAATATTCTAACATGTGGCATCCCTTCACAAAAATATTTTCGGCAGTAAAATTTCCTAAACATCTTAAGTTTGATACTGATTTGATATTGCAATATTTAGTTTACCTTGTCAATTAGATTTAAATAGAATTTTCAAACAAGTGGCAACCTTCCACAGAAATATTTTCGGCTGTAAACCTTCTTAAACGTCTTTCTTTTGACAGCCACATTGCAATATTTACTTTATTTAATTAATTTACTTAAACTGCAATTTAATTTCTGTATTGTAATTACAGGTGGCAACTCTCTAATCTTTTTGTTTGTATATTTTAAGTTAGACCTCTAGAAATACATCGGTGAAAACTAAATTCCATTTTATACATTAGTTTTCGGGTGATGCACCTACAAACATTCACACAGACAAAGAGACAGACGGACAGACAGACAGAAAAAATTCTAAAAATTGTTGATTTGGCTTCTGTTGCTGTAATAAATGCTCCCCATATTAATTTGTCTTTATTATCTATAATGCACGGGCATCGGTCTGCTATAATAAATATATATTTATGCATAGACTTTGAATTTCGTATTTTGCATTTTGATTTTTTTTTTTTGTATCAAGGATTTTGTGTTTCGTATTTTGCATTTTGTATTTTGTACTTTGTATTGAGTGAACAATAAAGTTCGGAGTACTCTGAAATGGGCTTTTAGGCGAAGCTTGGTCAAGGCAATGCAAGAAAAAATAGAACAAAAAATAAAATAAAATAAAAAAATGTTATGAAATGTTATAAAATTAAATGCGATAAGTCAAAGTTAAACAGAAAAAATAAACCAACATTTTCAAAAATCATTGCAATTTTTATTTTTATTTCACCGTTATAATCGTACCTAATACACAAAGGTTTGTTAAAAAAATCAAGAAAGATTTGCTTTTTTATTTTATTATAAATTAGTCAATACATATACATATTTCCAATCAGTGAATTTATTAAAATTTTATTTGTGATTTGCAGCAAAATCTTGCTGACGAGCTGATAAGAAATAATAAAAAATTCAGCGCGCATGTAAAACAATAAATAAAATTTGCCATACACCAGTCCAAACGCAGGCCGTTGCAACTTTTAAATCTAAGCCAAATACAAAATTAATTTAGGTATAAAATGTACTTAATCAACAATCTTCTCTTTCCCTCTTCTATTTTTGACTGCTCCAGCCACATTAAAATTCATCACACTTCGCCTTGATCATATTCAATGTGACAGTACCCACATTGGCTGACGCATTGTTGAGCAGTTCGAATATCGGCATACTATCGCTGGCATTACGTGTATCCGCATACAACGCCTTCACCACACCCTGATACGCTTCGTAACGTTCGTTATTCTCCCCGTCCCCCTTGAACTCTAAATACAACCGATGCACATCAAATAAACGCTGTGACGCCGCATCGTACTGCAGTTGCTGCTTTTCATTCGCCGCCGACGGCCATGGCAGCAGCTTTGCCCACGTCTCATGCAAATGCTCGATGAATTCAAAATTACTGAATATGAACGTGACAAAGAGATCGACGCCCTTGCTTTGTAGTTTGGCCAAAATGTCTGCCAGGTCCTCAGGTGCATACTGTGAACTCTTAAATTGCTCATAATCGGAGGAGAGGTCATTTTCAAGATAACTGTATAGCCGATTGCGTTTGGCATAGAAATCATCGGTGGCGAGTATGGCATCGATTTCCGTCAACACCTTGGCCAATTTGCTGGCGTGTAGTACGTGTGAATCATCCGCTATGCTGCCCGCCGCTGCCTCCTCCTCCTCCGACGAGGCGAGGTGTTTCTCTTCAACAACTTCCTGTAACAGCTTCCGCACGGTGAGCAAATAATCGTCGATTATCTCCGCGCCAGCCGCCTTTACATTTGCATACAACGTGCTGGCAAAGCGTTCGAGATCGATGTGTGCCATGGGAGGTGTAGTAGCCTTTGTGGCCACAGCTTCCGCACGCAATGGCGCCAATTTCACGTTACTCCAATAGTGTGCGTTTTGCGGTGGCGAGGTGGCTCGATGCGCTGCCGTTGTTGCTGTCGTCTCATTTAACCCATCGCGAAACCAAAATTGCCGACATAAATTATACCAACGCAAATGGCGTAGCTCTGTGGCGCTATCCTCCTGCAATGCCAACAGCTGATGTTTTAGTTTGCTGAGGAAATTTAGGTTGCGCAGCGTATAGAAGTTTTCGATGTTGTGCGGCTCGTGCACGTTCAGTTTTATGTCCAGCAGCTGCTTGAGGTAAACGATTTTCGTCACCAGTTCTTTGGAGCTTGCGGCTGACTCGATTTTTGTTGCATAGGTGGCGTAGTCTTTGTTGGCGCGCAACTCCTGCAGCAGGCCGTTGAGATGATCGCCGGCGGCCGTGTCCACCAGCTCGTTGAGCTCAGCAATGAAGAGCGTTTGGAATTTGCGGTTCTTTATATCCGAATGTGGCACTAGGATGGGGGTTTTCGGAGCGTTGGCGGAAAGCTAGAGAAATGGTAGTGCGTGTTAAGCGGCAGTTTAGACCAGATGGCATTTGGGGAACTTACCACAACTTGCAGAGGAATACCGAGCAGCAGAGCACATATGAGAAGAGTGCACATTTTGTTATTGAATATGTGGAAAAAACGCCGAAAACTCCAGACTTTGGTTTTCTTGGTCTCTTAAGTGCCGCAGTAAATAATTATTTCTGAATGGATTTAAAAAAAAAAAAATTTAACCATTTTTGTAATATTTTTTTTTAAGTTGTATAGTTTTCTTAAATTATTATTTTTTGTATTATTCCAGAGGTCTCTCTAAAATATTTTTTTTTTTGGAGACTACTTACTTTACTTATTTTTTTTACACGGATTTCTCCTAAAAATTTGCAATTTTATGTTTAAAGCTTTTTCTTAATACATATTTGTAATAGACCAAATTTCTTAATTCTAAATTTTTTAATTGTTTTTTTTTCAGAAACTTCTTCTATTTCTTAAATTTCTTAAGTTTCGTATACTAAACTTTCTTTTTATTTAAAGAATATTTTGAGGCAGAGTTTCTTATGTTTTTATATTATTTTTCTTAAAGAAGTCCTTAAACTATATTTCTTAATTTTTTTAAGTTTTTCCCAGTAAAATTTCTATATTAAAAGTTCATTTAATTTTTTTGGTTTTCTCCAATTTTCAATGAACAATATAGTTTTGATATTTAAACTTTTTGCGGCCAAATTGCTGGAGGATTATTTAAATATTGCACATTTAAAATAGATAGCAGATCAATTCATAAATTTTGCTTGATTAAAAAAAAATCATGTTAATTTTTTTTTGGATAAAATTTATTTGAATTTTTCTAAAGCCTCACTTCAAAAATGTTTCTGGATAGAATTTCATTTGAGATTTTCACGCATATAATTTTGTACATTTAACTGCTACCAATCCATAAATATTGCTTAATTAAAAAAAATTTAATAAATAATTTAAAATTTTGTTTTTAATTATTTTTTTTTGATTAAATTTATTTAAATTTTTCAACACTTTTCTCACTTGATATCCGCAGCCTCACTTTAAAAACTTTACTGAATACAATTTCGTTTTTACGCTTATTTTGTATTTCTACGACAAAAAATTATTATTTAAAAAAATTCTGGTCAAAATATTTCTTCATTATTCAGATTTCTATAAAAGTTATAGACACTTTATTAGTTTTCCAAATTTTTTAATGTTTCTTTGTGCATAACATTTGTATAATTTTTGTTTTCAGCGGCTAATTTATTTTTAATATTTTTTTTAAGTCCCAAGCAGTTAGCTTTAGACAGTTGTCCTCAAAAAGTATTTTGGTCTTAATTCACTTCAGATTTTTTCAAGCTTTTTACGTCTGGTTACCATTCACTAAGTCAATTTTAAAAATTCAACATATTCCGAACATTTTTAAAGTTTTTTTTTTAGATAAATTTTTCGTGAAAAAATATGTATTCTATTTTTGGAAAATGTTTAAAAATTTTCACGTTTAAGTTTTATTAATTTGTGAATATTTTGTTATTTTCCCAAAAAATTTCCCGTCAACCGACACTTGCGACCATCAACCGTACACTTTACGTTTGGCTATGTTTACAAATGCGTACCTAATTCTAGAAAAGGCTGCGGCCTCTGTATTATCTGCTACTTGCTTACTTTCAATCGTAATCACATTATTTATTTATACATACATGTGTACATATAAATTTTTTATCAGTTGTGAGTTCAGTGCTGGGGTTAAGCTGAGCTCGCTTGTTTTCGCTCTGCACAACAAAGCCGTTATCAGTAGCAGCGATAGCACAACCACAGTTTTGCATGCTTTTTAAAAACAAATTATTTATTTTTTATTTATAGAGAATAAAATGCTTTAAGATTTTTGATTTTCACTGCAGACATTGACCTTGAAAGTACTGACCTAATTGAAGGTTTCACGAACGATATTGAGGTATTGGAAATAAAATCGGTATTCAATATTTTGAGTAGAAAATTTGTCACCATCTGAAAATGAGCTCAGAAATTGTCCTGGGAAGCGCCAAATGCAAAAGTTAAACTTTCCACCTCTCAGCACACAAGACAGCTTCATCGTTCTAAGGACCCACATCAATATTGACAGTTAAATTTCGATTGATTACATAGGTAGAAGAGGATAGGCTTTTTTAAAAAGTTTACGTCAACATGTCAACCTTAAAATTCAGCTTGAAATAACCCATCAAAGAAGGCGCCATTTTGGGCAAAGTTGCCAAGTGAATGATGCTGTCTTAAATTTCCAACCGCAAATTACACTTGTCATTATCATGCCATTCTTAATAAATAGATGAAAATCATATTCTTATTTTTAAACCCTATTTGCTGAGGTGCATACCATTCACAAATCGAAAATTCACAAAACTCGCATTGAATTTTATTCCACGCAAGTCTCTGGTTGTTTATATTAAGAGCTTAAATAAAATACTCCCCAAAATTTCATAGAAAATACCATTACGATCTTTAATAGTTTCAATATGCTTTTATAAATTTAAATCACTAAAATCGACACACTAATTTGGGATTATATGGCGAACAAAGCATATGCATTTCAGTTGCATAATGCCTAACTAACTGTTTATGGCGGTTCACGGCTTCTGCCTGGAAGTTTTATTTTTTTTTATTACAGGGCAATTCTGACAACTGACATTCACTCATTTGTCTTTCGTAAGACAATTGTCAATTCTGGCAACCATCTTCAAAGCTCTTGACTGTCAAACATTCATCTTTTAGCAATATATTTTTAAAAACTAAATTGAATTAAAAAAATGTAAAACTAATAAATCAAATACAATTAAATAAAAATGAAAATATCGTAAATGAAAATAAAACAAAAACAAAAAAAAATATTTTTAAAAATTAAATGAAAAAAAAAATATTTTTTACTTTTAACACAATAAAATATAGAAACTAAATTGGGTAAAGAAAACATTTTATTAAAAAAGAGGAAAGTAGTACATAAAAAAATTAAATAAAATAAAAAGTATTTTTATTTTTAAAACCAAATCTTAAAATTAAAAGAAAATTAAATAAAAAAATTAAAGTCAAAAAGAAATACGGTCCTAAAAATTAAATGATATAAAACAAATATATTTTTCTTTGTAAATAAGTAATATATTAAAATTTAAAGATAATTAAATTAACGCAAGAAAAAACAACTAAATTAAAAACAGAAAAAATAAATACAATAACTTTTTAAAAATTTAATGAAATTGAAAGATATTTTTTTTTTTTTAAACAGTAAAATCTAAAAATTAAAAGGAAATTAAACTTAAAAAATAATAAAAAATTAAGCCATTAAAAATTGAATCAAATAAAGAGATAAAATACCAAAGTTATAAGACAATGAATTACAAATAAAAAATAAACTAATTAAATTAAAAAAAAAAAAAATTGATTCTAAAAATTAGGCACAAAATATTTTTTTCTTTTCTAAACAATAACAAAAAAATAAAATTAAAAATTAGAGGAGAAATATGTTAATAAGAAATATAATATTAAATTAAAAGAAGAAAAAAAGTTTATAGAAATTAGATGAAATAAAAGAACTATATATTTCGTTTTGACGCGAAAAATTAAATATGTAATGTTAAAAAAATAAACGAAATTAAATTAAATATATATTTTTTTTCTTTTAATCCAAAAAAAATAAATATGTATATGAATAAAAAAAAATAATAATAAAACAAAATCAAAAATATTTGAAAAAGAGAAAAAATACCGCTGCCCGAGACTTGAACTCGGATGTTTCGAATGGCACGCCTATGCTTTGCTCACTCGGCGATTACAATTGCTGGGGAGGTGGTTTCTCACAATAGGAATTCGTTTAGCACGAGGTCCCACAACAGGGGAGATAACACCCGCCGTGAGGGGAAACAGGATTACTCTTGCCACTTTTATGAGTAGCACTACTCCTGTCCGATCAGTCAAAGGGTTCGACCAGGAAGTTATCTCATAGGGCGTTGAGACTGTAGCCGAGGGCTGCTGCACCGAAAAATCGACTGTATAAAAGGTACTACGCGTAACACCACGATAATCGAAATTCTGCTACTCTTGCGCCCGTTTTTATCCACCTGGCTTAGGAGCTTGAGGCGCTTCAGGCAACATTGCTATCGATGTGGTACGCGAGAGGAATATGCCTTAGAGAGGCTGTGCTGGTGTAAGGGGGCTGGTGGTGTGATATTCTGATGGTAAGAACAGGTTCAAGCCCCTCGACTCTGGAGCTGGAATCTTTTTCAAGACGGAACAGATTCAGCTCTGGTTTTGACTTGGTGGCAAGACTACTATCTTTCAAGCACCTATACATACCTGTGGCTCCTTATACAAGTGACCATTGCAGAGCTGCGGTGATAAGGTGAAACTCAGCCACTATTCAATTTCATATTATACTAACTATGCATTTAACCAAAAACGCAACAGGATACTCGGTAAAGTACGTTTCTTCTTCAATTACTCCTCCAGCTAACGAACATACTTTGTTTTTTGTTTTTTTTTTGTTTGGCAAACGCTCCAGTATACCATTTCACTAAAAATTTAAACTTTCTAAAACTGCGTGTACTTTGAAAACATTTTTCTCATGATTTCATAGTAACCGTATACATTGTGGAAAATTACACTAATTATTTGTAACCAAAGTTTGATAAAAGTTTCATACAATTTTTTTTTTTTGGCTATTATCTGAGTATCTACTTGCTGGAGCTGGAGCAAATACATACTTTCAGTTTAATTAGATGGCACAAACAATGGTCGAGTGAAAAAGTGCAAACGCACGTGCATTTGAGCACCGAGTTTGTAGTAGATATGCAGTTAGTTATCTCTGTGAATGGGCGAGCGTGCGTGCGTGATTGCATATGGGGTGAAAAAGAGCTTGCACTCAGTAGTGCAAGTTTCAGTACCCAGTAAACATTTAAATAATGAGTTTAACTGGAAGTTAAGTTAGAAAACAAAGCAGATACTAAAGAATGCTATGTTCTCAATAGTGGATTTATTTACGTGAAATTTATAGCTCAGTTGTTAAGGATAAACGAAAAGCAGGATTTAGCGACTAATATGTGGTTTTAAAATTTCAAACCTCCTTTATCTTTTAAAATTTCAAAAGCAAGTTTTAGCATTTACAAATTTTTAATGCTGGTTTACTACCTTCATTCGAAATTTCATTTCATTAATTAATTAAAAATATAATATTGAAATGTCATCATCAGGTGGCATAAAACATAGGACATGTCACCGCCAGCTATCTAAGACCCTAAATCTATTAAAACTTACAAGCTGTGGTAAAGAAGGTTGAGATATGTCCAATACTTACAATCCAAGTATTTGTAGAAAACTTCGTAGTTATTTAGGCAAACCTATTTAATTAGATGTTCCTCTAAAATTGTTTCTAAATGCTATCGAAACCGACATCTTCTCGGTTTATTTAGACTACGTTGAAACAGGCCAATTGGCTGAGGCAATTAAGCTTTAAATTGCGACATTGATTTGGGTGTTCACACACACGTCAGCTGCACAATTAGCGATACGAAATCAGCTGTTGGATTACCTACAGTGATGGAAAAGTTGGTGCAATCGTACCTTTATTTAGTTTGATAGTAAATTCGGTACAAACACACAGTTTTAGGTACATTTGGAACGTAGCCAAATAACTTCTCAGAAAATCAGGAATCAGGATTTGTTATCCTCCTATTTTCTTTATATAGAAATACATATTTACTTTTTAGGTACATCAATGCACTTTTAGGTAAAGTTTTCCGTAAACTAGGTACAATTTTATAATTCAATTTTCCATCCCTTATGGAATATCAGCTGTAAAAGAGAACCAGAAACCAACAGCTGATTGCTATATGTTCAATAAACATACCTCAAAGTCAAAATTAAACATACCTGACACAAATTAATTGCGAATTAATTATTAGTTGGCAATTAATAATTTTAAAAATTTTGTATAAGTTAGGTAAAAATTAAAGCTTAAATTGGTGAAAAGGTTCTTGATTGCCAATTAGGGACCTGTTTGAACATAGTCTTAGATATAATTCAGACAATTTATGTTAAGAGAGTTCCGCAGCTTGCTCGGTAAGCCAAGAGTCTTCCAGGCCGTAATGTGCGAAGTTGGCATGACGGAGTCCTTGTAATCCGCGGTATTCTGCGAAAGATTTTTACTTCCACTCTCCGATTGCTAAAACGTAGCAGAAATTCGGCCTTCTTCATCGGCTCTATAGTCTGCAAGAACATGCGATTATACTGCGACTTCTTAGTTCTCAGAATGGTTCACTCGTCCCTGGTAAAATTGGAATTGTGAGCGCGACGCTTCGTCGTAAATTTTCATACGAGGATGCTAAATGTGAGCTCGCCGTATCGTTGTAT